CAAATAATTTATTGATTTATTTTCATGTTATAGATCTAGAGAAAATATAATGTAATGCTATATGTTGTGAATCAATTAACATGCAATAATAAAATATGCACATTATGTTAATTTAAGTTTACTTAATATAATTTAGACTAATAATCCTTTTCGATTTTTGTAATTCGTAAACAGAACAAAAGTATGCCTTAATTATTATAGTCTCATTCCGTGTGGATTGATATTTTTATTACTACAATGTGACACCGTATACTTGCAGAGTGTGTGTTTAATTTGTTATAAAGTCATGTTTGATCTACGCATATAGATATAATACGAATATACACTACGATTAATGCAAACCTGAGCACACCAATATGCTAGAACTCACTAGTGATATTTGGGCTTTGGTTCTGGTGCCAATGTAGATAAAAATTGACTCAATTGATATTGGTTCTGGTGCCAATATAGATATTTTTATGTCATATTTGACTCAATTGATATTGGTTCATATATATTCAATTAATAAGTTTATATAATGTAATTAAATAATTAATTAAAAATTGATTAATTGAACTGCATAAAATGAATAATTAATTGAGTTAATTCCATGGAGAAATTTAATTAACCGGTTTACAAAATATAATTAACTAATTTTTAAATTAATAGAAGTACATAAAATAATTAATTAATTATTTAGTGGAATTTAATATACGTGTTAAATATAATCTTTTATCATTTCTAAATTTGACTGGGTGTAGTCAATTTATTTAAGTGGTGAATAATTGTAGAGGGTTGAATTTTATACTAAAATTTAATATTCAATTATGTTACAATTAAATAAAATTTATTTATCCTATAGTTTATTTAATTTAATCTAACTCTTATTAAATTATGACATAAAGGTGGAAAACAATAAGTTACCCCTTAAACCATTATATAAGGAGAAGCATAATTACACTTATGGTTTATCACAATTTTATGGCCATCCATCTTGATCATATTATGGCTATCCTCCTCTGTGAACAACTTAGCTCAAAAATTGTTTCTCCTTCTTTCTAATAAGATGTTACTAGCATGGATCTCCAGTCTCGAGTTGATTGTGCAATTGAACATAGTTGGATTAGATTAGCAATAGCTTAGTCACCTCATATAGATACCTTTTTGTAAGGAACTAAACTTTTTATTTTACATGATTGCATGTTTTAATATTTTAATTTTGTAATTAAGAACAAATCCAGGCACCCAAAACTTAGGAATTATAAAATTGGTATTCTTCTGTTACACTAATTGCAATTTCTCGTAATTGTTCCATCCCCAATAGTAATGGCTATAACCTATCCATTCCATCATCAATCGAGGTGTTAATTGAGGTGCCCTGTTGAATCGGGCTAGAGTTTCTTTGGGCATACTCTGTTATGGACTTGATCCCCACACATAGGTGTCACAGAAAAGATATCAAGGGCTTTTATCTCTTTCTCCTAGTACATTTTCATTCTGTGCCTTTCTTGAATTTTTTAGAGACTGAGAGGAGTGAGGATACTATCCTCCAGTCTCTTGACAGCATGACCATGGATCAAGCATGCAAAAAAAAAAACTCATTAGTTCCATAAATATATTCAGAAATTTTAAATTACTTTTGTAAAGAATTTCTAACCTTTTATTTTGCAGATCATGAGGCATCCATGGTTTAGGACTGCTCATGGGGACTTAGCAAATGTCCCTAGAGAGACTATGAAACCATCAGTGTTGGAGTTCGTTCCAAGAAATCAATTGCATGTAGTAGGAAATCAACATTATTTTTATTTTTTATGAAAAAATAAAGTAATCAACACATTTATGCTCAATAGCATAATTAAGCCAACAAAATAAAAAGTAATGCAAATTGAAAAAAATGACTAAAAAAAACAAAAATTGACAAAAATTTATGGGATTCATGGATGCGAAAATCGTGCGATTTTCAATTTTTAATTCAAGAATCCTACTCTAATCTATGCTAATAATTAAACTTAAGGTTGTGATACCATTATTAGGAATTTATCACAGAAAAAAAACACACACAGTGAAATTTGATGTTTAATTTTTTATAATTAATTAAATTAACATTAAATATTTACTCAATTTAATTAATTATTTCCATTCGATTATGTATTCTTTTAGTCTTGGTTCAGTCAATTTATGTGCAAGACCGTTTGGAACTTTATTTATGTTGACAGTAGGCTGGCCAACAGACTATGGGTGGGTTTTAGTAAATCATTATAGCTTTCAATTAAAACAGTGACACAATAGTTAAGTGAAAATATTTTTTAACCAACCATCTCTAGATGAGATGGTTGGAAGGGGTTTAAAGAACCCTAGGGAGCTGGGTTCAAATCCTAGCTCCTCCCCCAAATCATTAAGCAATAAAAATTAGTGAAGACATCTTTTCTGTAATGATCATCTATTGTCCTTTTCCATTTGATATCAATATATAAATAAGACGCATAATCAATGTCACCCTCTTCTGCTCTTTATATTATTTCGTAATCTTGAGTCAACTCATGAAACAAATAAGTTCTCAAGTTATTTGGTCATGGCCACGAGCTTACCTATCCCACTCATCAAGTGGGTAGTGATATCATCTTAGTTGATAAACTGAGTGACAATTACATCACTTCATTATCAACATCAACATGTTCATTTGCCCACCTAATCATACATGTATTTGGTAGCCTATTGTGGACCTGTTAGACATGTGTCAACGTGTATGAAATTCCTTATTGATTTCATAATGAATCCTCGTCAGAGAAAAAATGTTACATACAAGAATGTCATATGATATAACAATCATTTGGCCTTTCTTGTGTAGATCCATCCAGTAATATATTAACGATATATATCTATATTTTTTATTGACTTTACAAACATTATTTTAATTTAATGACTACCATACATTCAACAAATATATAAGTCTATAGTTCTATTTGTTCCCAAAATTAGAACGGACCTTAGATAATGTTTTTGATTTATAATCAATGGATATTTTACTCATTTCATAACATATTATTATTAAATGAAATAGATTAATACCGTTATTAATTTAACAAATGAAACGTACATAAAATCTTCAAAACAATAGAATACAATTTTCAAGAAACTGATGTCTACGAAGTAGGGAGCATCGGCTCTTCCTGTAATCTTCTATAAGCCTAGGGTACATCTTGTTTTGGTTCCCTTTTATAAGGGTAAATCATCCGAAAAAAATCACTTAAGTGCAACAAAAACTACAAATTAAAATTTTCTAAAGCCACCAAAACTAGGAGTTTTTCCATTGGAAATCTGGAACAAAAAAAAATAAAAGTATATGGAATCAAAATATTCCCGATCCAATTTAAAGTAGAGACTATTGTAGAAATTCAAATGTGTTTTCCATTATAGTTTGATACATATAATAATTTGATTATGCATAAAATATCAACACACCAAAAGCATTTAATTTTTTCTAAGAAAATGTATACAATTAATTATTTATTTTATACAACCAATTAAATAAAAAAATAAATTAATTAATTACATTATGTAAACTTTTTAATTAAATAATTTAAAGACTGAACCAATTAAATTAATTATGATACTAGGTGTCAATTTATAATCATTTAATTAATTCCTTCCTACAGTATATTGAACTTACATATACGTCGTATCTAAGGTCAAATTTTCATTATGCAACATCATAGGCCTTGAACTAATAGAGTGCTTGTGGATTCCAGAAACCATAGCAGCCCTAAAAAGAGAATTCTTAATAGCAGTTCCTAATGGAGACACTATCCTGGTAGTTATCTCGTATTATCCACTGCCATGAGATATCTAAAATGATTTACCCTCTTTTGAGCTTGTTATATTCCTAGAGGAGATTAAGACATCAAATAAATGTCTTAACTTATTTTGGTATAGATACACACTTATTAGTCTCACTCATCAAATGATCTTAGATGCCATCTAAGATCATTTGATGAGTGATAGGAGAAGTAATTTGACCCGAAGTAGATGACAACCAGTGATTGCCCCATATGAACGTACTCTTCCCATTTCCAATTCTGTGAAACACCCCCTGAGCTGCTAAGAGGCTAGACCATATGAAACTTGGATTTGAACCGCGGACAGCTTGTAAGAAAGGCCCCCGAGGAAAGTATTTGGCCTTGAGTAATCGCGAAATCAATAAATCCGGTTGGTTCATGATGCACCGTGCTTGTCTACCGATCATTGCTAAATTGAATTCGTGGAATTTATACCTAAATGAAGTTGTAACTAGATATATTATACCTAAATTAATATTCCAGCAACATATATAAATAGATGAATAACATTCATATTCCTCCTTACAACACTAGTTAATTTCATCTTCATGCTGGGCGTATAGCCAAACTTAACTTGTACGTTAAACTGTGAAGACTTTTGAAATTCTCTTCTGCGATGACCTAGATAACATTTTGTAAAAA